CGGGGCCTTGGTGTTATCAGCACCGCACTCTCCCGAGTGAGCCACGGGCCGGCCCCAGCTGAAATATTAGATAACAGATAGCCTATATATTGCTTGACACAAGATATCTTTCAAAAAGTTCTTTTTAAAAACATCTATGTGGTAAGAGAAATTGGAGAAGCCCCTTTTTTCTTTTTAAGCGTAAGCCTTGTTTGTATTTGTAGGACAATGTATTTCCTACACTTGTTTTGAGGTCCCATGATTTTAGAAATAAGCAAAATTTTAAAAAGAAATAAAGTAATTGCAGACTCAAACTTTGGATTTACTTTATATTTCTCTCCCTCCAGCCAGGTGAGAGAGTTTACAGGATACACAAGATTAATTCAAATGGTATTTTGAATTGGCTTTTTCTAAGAAAGTCTTTAGTTTTTCTCCTGGGCCACTTGGTTATGGTAGCCTTTATTTTCTAAGTTTAAAAATAATATTGAAAGGAATTTTGAAAAACAAAGCTAGAGTTTCCCAAAGCCATTGTTTTTTAGGGAGAGGGGAAGAAAGTTTATTTTTATTCTTGTTTTATTGACATAAATATATTACAAAGATGTAATCATGGTATAAAATTTTTTGCTTTTTTAAACCCTAAAATTGTACCACAAGTTATTCATGTTTTGAAGTATTCATAGTTATTTTGGTTACTTAATACTATGTTGAAATTCTGAACTATAATTTACTGACCCCTATGTGTTATTGAATCTTGAGGTTGGTTTTGATTATTGGTGTATTTGATGGTATAACGATGAACATCTTGATTCAACATTCCTTCTTCTCTTGAAATTAGGGTAAAAATTTTAAGTTATTTTTATGGTGCTTGATATGTTTCATTAACTTTTAAATTAAGTATTTTTAAAATTTGATTTTTAGAATTTAGAGATTATCTCTACACTTACTAAATGGAGAATTGAAAATTATATGAAGCATAACAATATTGAGCCTTCTAACCCAGGAATAACTTTTCCAGATTCTGGTTGGCATTAATAATAATAGCTGCCCTCACCACTGAGAGCCTACTGTGCTAGGTGCTTTATGTCTCTTATTACTGTCTTCTGGCATTGCATGTTGTATTGATTAAATTGGGTAAAACAGCTTACAAAACCAGAATATTATACTTGAGCATAAATTAGTGAACTAAAAATAAATTTGGTTTATTAGCTGTAAGATTTGGTTCATTAAATTGTAGGCCAAATAACAAGTTCTCAAACCACAGAGTACCATGACTTTGTTTTTTCCGACATAAACAGAAGATTGTTGTTTATGCTGATGGTTCCATTTGTAAACTAGATCTTGCTACACTTGGCTTTTTTTTTTTTTCCTTTTTGTCTTTTTTACTGACCGGTAACGGGATCGCAACCCTGGGTGTCACGCCCGTACCGGGGACTGGCAATGGGATCGCAACCCTCGGTGTTGGGCCCGCACCGCGCTCAGCCAGTGAGCGGGAGCCGGTCTCCACATGGGATCCGAACCCTCGGCGGGAGCGCCACCGCACTCCCAAGCGGCACACTCTCCAGTGCGCCACCGGGCCGGCCCTACACGTGGCTTTTGAATGCTGGGTAATAATGTGCCTTAATTGTAGGTCAGTGAAGCCAAACTAATGGCTTGTTGGGCATTTAGATTGCCTTTTTAATTTACTGTATAATGTAGTCTCTACCAGAAATGCACAATATATTGTTATCTAAGTAAAACTCATTAAAATCATCTTACAAACAACAGAATGCCTGATATTTTGCCCATAATTGTGCAAATAAAAGAAAATTGAATGACATTATGGAGAGTTGTAATTTACAAGTACTCTTTTTAAAGTACCTTTGTATTCATTTTGGAAGATGTACATAAAATGATTACCGTGGTTTACATTAGTGTGATAGTTTTCTTTACCAACATTGTTTTGCTTTGTGCTTTTAGTATGTTTTAAATGATAATAATGATATGGACTTTAGAGACAGTCACTTATTTCAAACTGTGCAGTTCACCCGAAGAGATTAGCATTCATCCAATGTCTGCATTTCATTAAGAAAAAGAAACCTATGTTGTCATTCTTATCTCATAAAAAAGCACCAGTCATATGGTTTATCTTCATAATTTATAGGAACACTTGTTCATAAGTAGGTAAGATGGTTAATATTTTTTTAGCTCGGTTTCCATGGGCTAACAAGATAGCTCTGCACAGGACTTTCTTTTGACTCTTTGATTACGAATTTCATTTATTTAGCTAATATTTATTGAGCAGCTACTGAGTGCCAGGAACTGTTATAGCTGTTGGGGATACCACAGTTTTTTTCCCCCCTCTATTATGATAAATATTTAGCACAAGAGAAAAGTATTTAAAAATTATTTTAGAAATATAGTAATATAATCAAGGAATTCTACTAGAAAATTTAATGGATGCCTTAAAAGAAAGGCATCTTTTCTTTTCTTTTTTTTTTTTAAAGAAATTCGTCTATTACCTGTTTTTCTTTTTGTAGGTTATTTCTTATGAGGGTCATGGATATCCCCTATCTAAACCTGGAAGGACCAGACTGTAAGTAAATTTTTATTTTCTCATTGCATCTGCACATTTAAGTGTGTGGTCTGGAAGGGATAACAGGAAAAGTAAGAAAGAACTTTTTCACATAAAAGTGGGCAGTGATTTTTGTGGTTGATATGAATAGTATGCTAATGTTATTGGGACCCTCGGGCCTTCATTAGTCATCTCTTTACTTACATTTTCCAGTTTATGCATGAGTTGAATTTTTTTTTTTGTCTTTTGTCTTTTTTTCCTGTGTCCGGCAACGGATCGCAACCCTCAGTGTTGCCCCCGTACCGGACCGGGGACCGGCAACGGGATTGCAACCCTCGGTGTCGCTCCCGTGCCTCGCTCAGCCAGTGAGCGGGAACCGGTCGGTATATGGGATCCGAACCCTCGGGTGGGAGCACCGCCGCGCTTCCCAAGCGGTGCACTATCCAGTGCGCCACCGGGCCGGCCCATGAGTTGAATTTTTTTAAAAAATAGATCTTTTCTTCATTATTTTATTTTCACTCAGAACTCTAATTTTATCATTTCCTATAAATATTTATAATAGATTTTAAGATATGCTAGCTATTTCAGTAACTTGATAAAATTTCTATTTTCTGGTTACTTGAATATGTATATATCTAAGTTTAGTAGGTTGATTTTTTTGTTTTTACCCCCCATTAAAAGCCTCAGAAGGCCAATCTGTTTGGAAGATAGTTGCTTCTTCTTTTTTCTGCTTCACTCTTCAATTCTATTGGTCTTTTCTAGCCTTGGTTTATTTATTTATTTATTTTTGGCAGCTGGTGACCAGTAGGGGGATCTGAACCCGTAACCTTGGTGTTATTAGCACCACTGGCCTTGGTTTATTTGCCTTAATAGATGTCATTGGCATGTAGAAATGGGTGAGCTATACTTGGTGATAATTGTTACAATGATAGTTTGAGGACATACTATTATGTTGTGCTCCACATTATACTTATATTTTAGTCTGTCATTCTCACAAAAATTTGGTAATCTAAATATTGCCATTCCCAGCTTATAGCCAAGAGTGGTTAGAGTTGATCGATCTCTTTCTTAGAGTTGTACAGGTAAGTGATGAGTCTGGGATTAGAACACAAGATTGTGACTCAGGACTACCTCTGCTTTAAAACAATTAGTCCATTGAATATGGACAGCGTTAGCTCAGTTGGTTAGAGCGCAGTGTTGTAACAACAAGTGTTTGAATCCTCGTACTGTCAGCTGCCAAAAAAGAGAGACACACACACATAATTTGGACAGTGTATTTAAGAAAAAGAAAACTAAATAAACATGTAGACAGATTCAAAGGAGAAAAGTTAAATTTTTGGTGAAAGTTCTTGAACAGAGCAGCCTTTTTTCCTTCCCTTTAAATAATTTGCACAAGAATTGCATGAGAAGAAAAGATGTTTCTGTATAGAATTGCTAGGGTTCAAATTGTTGTGGGTTCTATAAAGTTTCAGGACTTGGGGTCTAGATTACAATGGCAGAACCCTAACAATCTTAAGAATACTTTTAGGAGTTCTTTGAAAGGTATTTATAACAATTCCCCAAGTAGCTTTGGCTTAGTTTCATCGAAGAATACTGATTTACTTGATTACTTTCCAACTATCAACAATATGTCAAAATTTGTCTTGTAGTGCAACCTAAACGTGATCATGTTCTCCATGTGACATTCCCCAAAGAATGGAAAACCAGCGATCTTTACCAGCTTTTTAGTGCCTTTGGTAAGTAAATTGCAACTGCAAATGTACTTTTTAGGGTTTTGCTATTCTTTTGGCGAAAGTGGTCAGAGGTAGCCAGCTAGCTTCAGTTTGTGCATAAAAGAATGTTAATATGCAAGGTTTTAATTTCACTCATGGAATTTTTTGGTTTAATATACTGCTATCTTTATGCTTATATGATCTGAGGAACTTTTAATAGCTTCGCAAAATAGAGTGCTATCAACCCATGTGAAAGTAAGATACCATTACTGTGACTCCCCTTACTACTGACTAGGGAAAATAAGCTTAGGCTGAGAGTAAATCATTTTCAAGATTAAATTCAGAGAGATTGTTTCATAGGGCAGGCGGTCTCTGCTTGAGATTGAATAATCAAAGCAACAAACACAGATGTTTGAGTAGACTAAGATATGTGATACAAATGAGGTAGGTTGATTATCTTTCCTCTTTATCAAGTCATGATTAGATTAATTTGAGCAGACTTCTTTTTTTTTTTTTCCTTTGGGCTAACAAGATAGCTCTGCACAGGACTTTCTTTTGACTCTTTGATTACGAATTTCATTTATTTAGCTAATATTTATTGAGCAGCTACTGAGTGCCAGGAACTGTTATAGCTGTTGGGGATACA